CATGCAGGGCAAGCTCTCTACCACTGAGCCACATACCAGGCCCTTTTGATTTTTCTGTCCTGTGTATATCCCAGTTGTTCCAGTGCTGTTTGTTGAAAATATATCTCCTGTGTCTCTTCTCCATTGTGTTGTCTTTGCTCCTTTGTGAAACCAGTTGGCTGTATTTATGTGCATCGTCTCTAGGCTCTTTGTTGTGTTCCATTGATCTATTTATCTATTCTTTCACCAATACCACCCTGTAGCTTGATYACGGTGGTTTTATGGTAAATATTGAAAGTGGAGTGATGCCAGGCCTTCAACTTTGTTCTAATTCGACACTGTGTTAGCCATTCTGGGTCATTTGCCTCTCTACAGAAACTTTAGTTTGCTGATGTCTACAAAGTAACCTGCTAAACTATCTTACAGTTTTGAAGCATTCACTTGACAAGGTCAGGTCCAGTCAGAATCATTTCTTCTTTTTTTTTTTTTTTTTTAATATATATACCAGGGATTGAACCCAGGAAACCTAAGTTGCTGAGACTGGCTTTGAACTTGCATTTCTTCTGCCTCAGCCTCCCAAGTTGCTGGGATTATAGCTGTGCACCACTGTACCTGGCCAGAATGATCTCCTTTTTGATTAAGTCTCTTTAGCTCACCAGTACCTTAATTACATCTGCAAAATTCCCTTCGCCTAATAGTGAAACATGATCTTGGGATTGGTAAACCTTCATATTCACCAGACTTGCCCATACACACCAGGAGGCCGAATCTTGGGAGCCATGTTGGAATTGTGCCTGCCACAAAAATACTGTCACTGAGTACCTACTGCAGCGCCAAACACCATTTGATTAATTTCCACCTTCCAGTTAAATGGTGCCATCAGGGAAGCTAAAGCTCAGGGAAATGAAGCCATTTGTGTAACTAGTAATTACTAGTGTCGAGATTCTAACTTAGCTCTGTTGGTATTCAAAGCCCAGGCACTTTCTATAATCCTGTCACTCTCCTGTCCTTCTGATGTATGTACTTGCTTTTCTCTAGGCCGCTGTCTTGTCTGTAGGCTGCCATCCTCCTTYCCAGGTCTCTGACAGCAGTCCCTGCCTCTGCCCTCCTGCCTCTGCTCTTGCTCTTCTCTGGTCCATTCTCCGCAGTCTTAAAGTACGGCCCTGCCTGGGGAGCTGCCTGCTGCAAACACCTGACCTGTCCTTTCCGTCTGAGTCCACGTGACCCGGAGCCTCAGTTCGTGATCGCTGCCTGCKTCTCTAATTCATCTCTTGCAGCCGTTTTGGAGTGTCCCATGGTTCCCTCTGCCTGCTGTGGTTTTTTGTTGTGTTTTSTGTTGTCTCCATTTTCTTTCTAGTGCTGGGGATTGAACCCAGGGGCACCCTGGGCACAGAGTAACATCCCCAGTCCCTTTTAGGCTTTATCTGGGGACAGGGTCTTGCTGAGTTACTTAGGCTGACCTCAGACTCTATGGTCTTTCTGCCACCATCTCCTGAGTAACTGGGGAATGCAGACGTGTGCCACCATGCCCAGTTTGCCCAGAACATTCTTAGCTACTCTTCTTCTGCCTATTTCTACCCAGCTTCCAGGTCTAAATTAAATTCCACTTCTCCAAATTCTCCTTTGGCATATTGACTTGATGTGCCCATCCATGTGCCCATGGCACCAGGGTCTTCCCTATGATAACATTGCCTTTTGTTAAAATGCCATGTTTGTCTGTGTTGTCATGTTCTATATCTCATTTTTGGCTGTGTTCCCAATGTCCAGTACATAGTGGACTCTCGGTAAATATGTATTAATAAATGAATGCCAGAGTACTTTAATAGGTAACATTTTTCTTTTACCTTTGAAATATTYCTTTTTAGTCTCTGCTTTTCTTTCTTTGCCATTGGAATACTTTTAATATCACATATCAGAAAAGCTACCCACTTTCATGTGTTTTATTCAATATTAAATAATCAGTATATGCTGTAGCTGAGACAAGATAGTGGGCCTTAGACKTTAGATTTCCTGCATTTCCAGTTTATGCTCTTAGCTTCCTGAGGTTGTAATCTGGGCCTTAAAATTCATGCTCTTAACTATTTATTGTACCACCACCCTGAGTAAGTTATTCAGTAAATGCTAGTTTATTTTCTATATAATAGAATAAAGTAATTATAAGAGGTATGAGGAAATCCCCTTCAGTAGGTAAATTGGGATCTAGTATACTGGCCAAAAATTGTGATTAATTTTATTAAAGTAGTTTTAACTTTATAGCTATAGATAGCCTTGTGAATAGGAACATTAACATTTTAGAGTCTTGTATCATGTTTGGGAAAATGTTGTTAAAATGCCTTTYCTGCAAGTTTTCTGCTGTGGCCAAATGAGTTGTAGAGTCTCGTGCGTATGTGCTCTCTAATGTTCTCAATGTTTGGTAGTGACTTTGATTCTACAGTTGGGAAAGACTTGGAGATGTACAGATTATTGTACTTCAGTAAATGTTAAGCATACAGATAAGCCATTTTTTTAATTAGCATAAGATTTTGAAWCTAAATTTTCAGTAAACATCCCACAATTTTCCAAGTAAACATAATCACATTCAATGCCATTGCTTTCGAAGGTATCTAGGAATGTTTCCATTCTACAAAATGATTTCAGAATTCCTTTTGGAATTAAAGTCAGAGCCACTACACATGCTTTTCATTGAGAACGTTATTTTGTGGAAACAATATTTGAGGATAGTTATTTTATGGAAATTACATTAAGAACTATATCAGGTAAACAGTATGTGATCAAGCTTTGTTCAAAACAAGATGAAACTCTGAAGTTATGAGACAGGACTGGTATTTGTTGGTTTGGGGTCATAAATCTGACTCTGAAGGCAAACAGAAATTCCCATTAACTAACTACCTTATTTACTTTCTCTCTTTCTTTATTTTTTTAACCCAGGATTGAGCCCAGAGGCACTTAACTACTGAGCTACACCCCCAGCCTTTTTATTTTTAGAGACAGGGTTTCACTGAATTGCTTAGGGCCTCACTAAGTTGCTGAGGCTGGCCTTCAACTTGTAATCCTCCTGCCTTAGACTCAGGAGTCACTGGGATTACAGGTGTGCACCACCACGCCCAGCTCTAACAACTTCTTTTCTTGGCATTACTGGTGATTAAATCCAAAGCCTTACACATGCTAGGCAAGCACTCCATCACTGAGCTACAGCCCCAGCCCCACCCCAAAGTAACTTTTGTTACTTTTGTTAGTAATTACAAGACTAAAAAGGGCACTCATAGGAGAGAAGGAAGATTAGTCATTTTATTTTGATGCTTACAGTTGAGTAAAAGTCTGATTTTTTTTGAGGAAAGCCATATTGAAAACATCTCAGTTTATTAGATTAAGATTATAAAGTGAGGGTTGGGGTTGTAGCTCCGTGTAGAGCGCTCGCCTCACATGTGGAAGGCACTAGGTTTGATCCTCAATACAACATAAAAATAAAATAAAGGTATTGTGTCCATCTACAACTAAAAACATATTTTAAAAAATTATAAAATGATAACTCTTTGTTTCAAATAGTAACATTTTTCAGGCTGGGGATATAGCTCAGTTGGTAGAGTGCTTGCCTTGCATGCACAAGGCCCTGGTTCAATCCCCAGTACCTTAAAAAAAAAGCTTAAATAGTAACATTTTCTGTAAGGAAGCATCTTACCCACTGAGCATAGTAGTGCACACCTATAATCCCAGCAACTTAGAATGCCAAGGCAGGAGGATCACAAGTTTAAGGCCAGCCTCAGCAACTTAGCAAAACTCTTAGAATTTAAAAGGCTGAGGATGTGCTCGGAAGTAAAGCACCCCTGGGTTTAGTCTCCAGTACTCAAAAACAAACAAACAAAAATCACGTTTTCTTTCCTCACAATGCATGACCCTAAGTCAGGACTACTGTGGGCTCTAGTAGTCTTGGATGCTAGTTATTAAAACTATTTTTCTGAGTTTTATTTTTCTCATCCTCAAAATGAGAGAGAGAATGACATCTAACCTAGTGCCCCTTTCTGTGTAGGAAAACTTAAAATTTTTCCCCCAGTCGATGGAAAGCTGTACAGTGAACTATGTAGTAATATAATCATTTGTTTTCTATATGCCTTGTTGAACTGGCTTTGAAGGTTATTTGATTTTATCTCAAAAACTACACATTGCTTTTGGCATTGTCATGATACAGTGAGAAACAAACATGCTTCAAGTGTACAGAGTAGTGGGTTGAAGCAAAAGAGGTTTGTCGGACAATAACTGCCAATACATTGTCTTCAGTATTTATTTACTTCTGACCTTGAACCACAGGAATATGGACAATAAAATAATGATAAACTTCAAATGATAGGAAAACAGGATCAGGAAAATTCAAGATTGGAAATCAACATTAGAGAAACAGAAAGAACATGGATTTGGCTCTTGGGTTTCTAGCCCCAGAGTTTAAAAGGAAATTAAGTGGTTCTGATTTTCAAAGATAAGAAAAATAGACACCCCAGGAAAGGGGAGGATTGTCTTAGCATTGAGTTCTAAAAGAATTCTGCAGTGTGTGTAGACAGAAGAGTGAAAGGCTTTACAAACAGAATGGAGCTACAACAACATAGAAAATCTAAAAGTAAAGGAGCCTGTGTTTTTACCTTCTAAAGTAAAACTGAGACTTAACTCCTAAGTGAAAAGCAACAAAGGTTAAAAACTAATTATCTTGTTGGGCATTGTAGCAGTTGCCTGTAATCCCAGCCACTCCAAAGGCTGAGGCAGGAAGATCACAAGTTCAAGACAACTTCAGCAATTTAGCAAGACCCTAGCTCAAAATAAAGCATAAAAATGGGGCTGGCCCCGGGCGTGGTGGTGCATGCCTGTAATCCCAGCAGCCTCATATATATCTTGTTTAGGAGTTCTGCTTAGTAATATGGAATTTTTCTGTGAATGAGAAAGTTTAGGTGCCCTTTCTACTTTGTTGCCTAGACTGAGTTTAAACTTGAATTCTAATCAAGTCTTGCCTCCTTCTGTTTTCTATGTGGCACTAGCCAAAAAAGAAGAACATGTCGGCCTATCAAGTGTTCTGTAAAGAATATCGTGTAACCATTGTGGCTGACCATCCAGGGATAGGTAAGAACATTTCTGATCTTTAGTTTTTTCACTTTTATCTCTGAATCAGTGCAGTTAATTGATCCAGTCAGCAGGTAACTTCTTCCCATAATGTTAGAGCACAAATCACATTTTTTCCCTCAGATCTGCAGATCACYTTAGATTTTGCCCTATGCATAAAAGATAGAAGCTTTCTATACATATCTCTTAAACTGATAAAATGGGAAACTTTGTAAAATCAATGTTATAAAGTATAATACATATGTATATGCATAAATACACAGTTACTTCCAAGATTCTATCTTGACCTTTTCCTTAAACTGTCCTTGCGTGTAGAGTTACAATGAGGTGACTGAGCTATGCTGCTCCTGTTTGTGTTCGTATTAGAAGCCAGTGAGCAGAGAACAGCAGGCAGAGACCTCAGACAGGTCACTGACACCTACAAACCTCCCTGGTCTACTGTGTAAAGTAGCTGCTCTGCCCACTCCTAGGTTGCTTTGAGGTGACCTGGATAGGTCTCACAGACTAAACTTGCCATACAAAAGAAAGGATGATATTACACTTCTGGACTGCTCTAGGAAACTTCTTCTTGGCTTCTGATCTCAGAAATTTTGGTAGAAACGTAGCATCTTTGATCAAATTCTCTGTAGCATATTGCTTTAACCTAACTTGGTTGRTCTTCTATTGTGAAGTTCAATGAAAGGACGCCAAAAAGATGCCTGAGGAACAAATCCCTAGAGAGTAGATGTGGAGGGTTGGAGCCTGTCTCCTGGCCAGAGCACCCCGCTCCTACAGGAAAAGGCAGAAGAAAGGCGCGAGGGCTGGGGGGGGGTGCTCCTGAGGGAGCCAGCGTCACTTCAGTGGGATGCTCTTTTCGGTTTTGGCTCTCACCAGCCTTTTGTTCTGTTGAGTTGGCCCTAATCAGTATTATTGTCTTTCTTTCAACTCTTCTGCCAGATTTTGGAGAACTTAGTAAAAAACTGGCTGAGGTGTGGAAACAGTTGCCAGAAAAGGACAAACTGGTAGGTACACTTTCTTATAAATATAATTTTCTTTGCTTTTTGCCTTCCCAAATGGTATAGTTCTTCCAGACCATCCGTCCACACATAGTGGGGGAAAAAATCACAAATTTGGGGCTGGGGCTGGGGCTCAGCGGTAGAGTGCTTACCTAGCTCATGAGAGGCCCTAGGTTGGATCCTCAGCACCACATAAAAAATAAACAAATAAAATAAAGTTGTTTTTTTTTTAAATCACAAATTAACTGAAAACAATTTAGCAGGCAAGGGGACTGGCAGTGCTGCTGCCAAGTTACTCCAGGCAAGGAGTTAGGTAAAGGAAGGTGACTTTATTTGATTTTTTTTTTTCCAAAAAAACTTTATAGTTGGCTGGCTGCACCTTGTAATCCCAGTGGCTTGGGAAGCTGGATGGGAGGATTACAAATTCAAACCCAGCCTCAGCAACTTGGCAAGGTTCTAAGCAACTCAGTGAAACTCTGTCTCTAAATAAAATACAAAAAAGGGATAGGGATGTGACTCAGTGGTTAAGTACCCCTGAGATCAGTCCCCATTACCAAAAAGCCCTTCACTATGAACACCTAATAGTCCTGTCTAAGAACGGAGGATCATCATCCTCAGACAATAAAATCATGGAACACACTTAGCCAGGTTCCAGGTCCCCATCCTCATCAAGCAGCTCAGAAGACAATGGTGAATTCATATCTTAATCATGCAGAGTCACTTTCCAGTTGGGTGATCCATAAATTGTATGGGAACAACTGCCGGTTAAAGTACAACTCATTTAAAAAAAATAAAAATAAAAAAATTTTTTTAAAAAGTACAACTCTTTAGATGAAACAACTGGTTTTCACCCAGATAGATTAGCATTCGTTGCTGTTTTCCATGACATTTTTGTTTTCCTATTGGTTTTGTCAATCATGAGGTTACAGGAAGTATTTAAACCACCTGGACACTATACAGAGCCACAGGTTTACAAGTCACTACTGAAATTTGACCATCAGCACTGAGGAACGTTTATGATTTCCAAGTAAACATCAATACAAACAACAGTCCAAAGGCAATTCAGTGGCCCTTTAGCTTAAGAGTTAGCATTAATCCCTACCTGCCCTCCACTGTTCCTTTCTTCATTTTGTTCCTCCATGACTGCTTTCTATTTCACTTTTTTGTCCTTGTAATTTGTTTTAATCTATTGGACACTGATCTGGTTGCAGATTTGGAAACAAAAAGCTCAGTATCTGCAGCATAAACAGAACAAAGCAGAAGCTACAACTGTGAAAAGAAAAGCATCAAGCTCAGAAGGTTCCATGAAAGTCAAAGGTAGTGACCACTTCCCCTTCCTGCTGAAAATTCTTCTTTCTAAAGTGATGTAAATTTTGCTTCCTTACTAGGAAATTGGGAAAGCAGCTGATATTAGAAGCAAAACTTTATACCCAGGTATTATTACGGAATAGTATAGGCAGAGGGGGGGAAAAGATTCAGTTTTATATGTGTGTGTTGTGTGTGTGTGTGTATGTGTATATAYGCCCAGAAAGTAAGTATAGGCCTTATGTGCAATGAGCACTCTCTTGTCACTTATTCTTTGTTTTTTTGTTTTGTTTTGTTTTTAAATATTTATTTTTTAATTGTAGTTGAACATAATACCTTTATTTATTTATTTTTATATGGTACTGAGGATCAAACCCAGTGCCTGGCATGTGCCAAGCAAGCGCTCTACCCTGAGCCACACCACCACCCTATTATTCTTTGTTTTTTTTCTACAACGCTTTATAAATATAAAACTATTTTTAACCCCCAAGTCACACAAAATGTGATCTTGGGCTAGATTTAGTCCACAGGCCATAGTTTTGATAATAGTTGAAGGAAAAACCAAAAGTAATGTTTTTTTGGTGTTCAAGGCTTACTTTACAAATTTTATCTTATTTCACAAATTTTACCTCTCTTTAAATTCCTCTGTTCTCAGCTGCTTCTGTGGGAGTACTGTCACCCCAAAAGAAGTCCCCACCAGCCACCATGCTGTTACCAGCATCACCAGCCAAAGCCCCTGAGACAGAGCCCATCGATGTTGCAGCTCACCTTCAGCTGTTGGGAGAGTCTCTCAGCCTCATCGGACACCGCCTACAGGAGACAGAGGTGAGTGTAGCTCCGGCAGCAGGACCCACGCTGGATGTGCAGTGCAGACCCACTCACTCAACACACACTCCCTGAGGTTATTCCCTGAGGTTAGATTGTGCCGGGCACTCAGGAAACAGTGAAAAGAAGACACAATGGTAACAGAAACTTGGAATCTACCTGTTGTCGCTATACTAATACCACCCAGTGGCACAAAAAGAAGTTAGAATACCCTCTGAGCTAATTTTTGTTCTTTAAAAATGTTATGTAAAAGATGAGTGCAAATCCATTGCAGTTCAGATTGTTAGTACTTCTAGAGGAGTTGGAACTTTTTGGTGCATTTTCAGCAAAGTTCTGAGTAGACAGACGACATTGTATGGGGGATTAAAAGTCCCTCTTCCTTGAGAATAGGTAGCAAATGGGGAAGTCAAGTTTCTCAAGCTCTTTGTTACAGTGCCCTTGAGTTACAGTGCTATGTGCTCAGGGGAGAAGTTCGTCCTTTTAAGCTTCAATTTCAAAATCGCTTAACCTATGAGGCTGCCGTGCTCCATTTCTATGACCGTATTCCATTTCTAACCACTGTGCCTGTTAGCCAACTCAGTAGCATAGTAGTTCATCTTTCAGTTCTCGTAAGGCATTTCAGCAATGCAATCTAAGCTACTAAAGCCATTTTTAAGCTAAGAAATCAGTGCAGAAGTATAAAGCTAATCACTTGCTTCTTTGTGGGAGTGGAATTATCATTCAATAATAAAATAAATGCCAAAGGCCACAAGAGGTRAAGCTATCTGATTCTTTGGCTAATTTCTAAAAATTCAGCAGACATCAAAAGAACTTAAACACTCTTGTGGAGACTTATCTATGTGAATGGTTGAAGGTATTTCCAGAATATATTCTCTGGTCCTTATTTATGTTTTTCATATTGAATGATTCATATGTTTCCTAAAAAGTTAGAAGTAAAAGTGTTTTAAAGCACCTYTCATATTCCAGGTTTTCCCAGATAATTCCATGTAGTTTGGCAGATATTTCTTGAATACCTAGGCTTTTTTCCAAGAACTTGGTGTAGAAAATCTGAATGGCACAGTATGCCAATTATTAGGAAACTTACAATACAATTGGAAAGACAGAACATTTTTATAATCAACAAATTGAAACAGGAGTTGGGGATTTAGCTCAGTGGCAGAATGTTTGCCTAACATGCACAAGACCCTGAGTTCAGTTGGCCCTGAAAAACAAAAAAAGCAAGGGGAAAAAATAAGGTAATAAATTGAAACAAACCAGCTTCTATGAAGAGTTACAATGAAAGTTATATACATAGTACAGTAGTCCCTTGCCTGTGGAGGATATGTTCTAAGACCTCTGTAGATGCCAGAAACTGCAGAGAGTATCAAACCCTATATACCAGCACACTGATAACACAGTAGTCAGCTTGATAACTGAGGTGCCTAACAAGTGGGTGGCATATTACAGTGTGGATACTCTGAACAAATGGTCAGTTCACATCTGGGACAGGACTGAGTGGAACAGAGATGTCATCGTGCTATTCAGAACGACATGGAATTGAAATTTTTAATTGTCTTGGCGTTCATTTGTTTTGGCTTTGCTTTTGCTTCCCCCCCCCCCCCAAGTACTGGYGAATCCAGGGCCTTATGCATGCTAGGTTTACCACTGAGCCACATCTTTACCTCTGAGGATAACAAACTGTAGAAAGGGAAACCCCATATATGGGGTAACTACTGTAACCAGAAAAGGAAAAGAACTTTGCAGATTCTCTAGTCTGCTTTTTTTTTTTATAATAGTTATATTGAGATATAATTCCTATATCATAAATTTCATGCTTTTAAAATATGGAATTTAGTGGGTTTAGTACATTTTCAGAATTGCAAGCCATCACTGTTATCCAACTCCAAAACATTTTCACTGCCTGCCTAAAAACCCCATACCCATTGGGAATCATTCCCCATTCCCTCTCCAGTTGGCTTATCCCCAGAGTTTTATTACTTGAATATATTCTCACAATTTTGCAATTTCTATGTGCCACTTATACTATCATTTACTTTTTAGCTTAATCTGTCTATGCTTTTATAATGGTATCCTTGAAATCACAAGAATGATGCTATAATTCTTTTCTAATGCACATCATAATGGATATGTAACTATCAAAATAATGTTCACTGAGCATTGTGGTGCGCACCTTACCCAGTGAGGCAGGAGRATCACAAGTTCAAGGCGAGCCTCAGTAACTTAGTGAGACCCTGTCTCAAAATAAAAAGGACTGGGGATGTAGCTCAGTAGTAGGACACCCCTGGGTTCAATCCCCAGTATCTCAAAAGTAATAATAATTAATCTTCATCTATATGCCACCTAAAATTATATATCACAACTTTAAGGAACATTGATTTATATAGTTTGCTAATTTAGAGTCTGAATACCTAAAACCTCACGAAAGTCACTGACCATCACAAGTTGATTCAACTGTTGGCAGTGGAGCCAGAGGGACAGCCCTGCTGGCCTTGCTTGTGTCTCCCTTGGTGTCTGCCCTCCTGTGCTAGTTCAAGCAGGTAGGAGACTGGGGAGTCAGAGGAGGCAGGAGCAGCCTTGTGAAAGGGGGTGGCATTTAGAGTAAACCTTGATTGATAGGCAGGTTGTGTCCTACAGAGATCCTGGAGAGACATTCCAATCCAAGAACACTGCATCCCTCCATTGCTCAACCGCAGGGTCTTTTTAGAGAAGGATACGAGCCCCATTGAGGCTGTGAACCTCCATCCCCACTTTAGCCAAATCTTTTAGCTGTTTTATATATTGGGGTTCCTAGAAAGTTTTATTTGAAAAAAAGAGTTGAAACAGTACATTTTATCATTTTAGCAGTAAAACTGGATCATGCAGTATTTATGGTAGAAAATAAAGGCCAGAACACAAATTGCAGCAGGTCTTCATGGACATGAAGGTCTCCACTCTGCTACTCAGGAATCAGAGGTCCCATTTGGCTTTCTCTGAGAATATCTTCTTTTTTAAGTTATAAATGAAAATACTCCAGAACTGGGGAGAAGTTATAATAGTTTAGACATGACAAAATTTTTAATTTAATTCAACAGATGCTTGTTGAGCTTACTCTGTTGCATGTGAGTGGATGTGAGTTGCTGTGAGATCACCTCCAGCCTCTCCCAACTCCCTGTCTGTGGGACAGCAGTAGTTATAGGAGAACTTTAAAATGTGTAGGTTATGGTTCCTGCCCTCAAGGGACTTAGAATCCACTCAGGCTGAGCCATAAAATATTAGCTATAATTAACTACAGGGCACAGGTCAGGAGCAATGCGGCTGCCTGCTGACGCTGTCAGACTCTGAGTGCTGCTCAGCCGGCTTGGTTCAGAGCTTCATGTCGATTAGTTCGTTTAATTCACACTGTAGCTTGGGAGGTAGCGTTGTTGTCCCCCAGTTTTACAAAAGAAGAAACAGAAACTTAGGTCGAGTCCCTTTTCTGGAGTTCAGCCCCTAAGTATTGAATCAGAGCCTTGAATTTAAAGAGTGACTTTAAGGTGCAGGCTCTTAACCTCTTGGTGGACTGCACCCCAGAAAATAGAGAGAGGAGATGTCAGACAGGGGTTGAGGGAAAGGAAGAGTCAGCYGGGGATGAGGCCTTGGGACTGGGCAGCTGTGAGAAAGGTGATGACTTTGGCAGATAAATGGAAGCTGAGAGGAGGGTGGGTTCGGCTCTTGATGGTGTGTTGAAATTGAGGAATGGCCAACGGGAAGGACCCAGCAGGCAACCAGAAATGCCGCTCTGGAGATGAATGTGTTGGCAGTAATAGTGTAACTTCTGGTGCTTTTTGAGTACTAATCAGCTACCAGATACCATCCCAGGTACTTCACATCCATTATCTCCACCCCATCTGCCGATAGCAGTCCATTCTGCAGGTGTAGCAACTGCCCAGGTACCAAAAACAATGAGAGGTGGGGCCAGGATCTTGACCCAGGCAGTCCAGATTCAGAGCCATTCTCTCCTATGCTGCCTCTTGAGATGATTTCATATCCTCACAGTGCTTCTGATGAAAGCAGATCATGCAAGAGCTGGGAAGTGGAATTTGCAGCCGGCAATCTTACCTCTTATCTTTCTGAGTCATAATTATGTAGATAATATGAATTAAATGAGATGTCATATTTTGAAATTAATCAAACACACTCTTTTTTTTTTTTTGTACCAGCGATTGAACCTGGGGGCACTTAAGCACTAAGCCACATCCCTTAATATTTTATTTAGAGACAGGGTCTCACTGAGTTGCTTAACGCCTCACTTTTGCTGAGGCTGGCTTTGAACTCACAATCCTCCTGCCTTAGCCTCTGGAGCTGCTGGGATTACAAGTGTGTGCCAAGCACCCCCAAGTGTACTTTTTTTTTTTTTTTTTTTTTTTTGAGAGTGAACAATTTAACCTAGAATGATATTACCTGCTGTCAAAAGCCACATAGGGCTGGGATGTAGCTCAGTGCTAAAATGCTTGCCTCACATGTGCAAAGCCATGGGTTCGATCCCCAGTGCCAAAAAAAGTAAAGACCAAAAACAAAACAAGCCCCCCCCCCAACAAAAAGAAAGAAAAGACTACATTTGTAGAAAAGTACATATATGCTTCTGTAAATTATATTGTGTGGGACTGTAGGGTTTTCATAGTATCATATTTGAGCTGTATTCATGGAGTTTATGACAGATCTCACAGATCTTCCCAGTATCTCTCTGGAGTACGGAAGGCATTTTTCACTATTCAGGAGAAGGGAATCAAGTGACTTTCCCAGGACACATAGAAGATAAGATGGATTAGGAATATAGAAAGAAAACCTGAAAATGTATAGTAAGAAGTTTTTTAAACTACTTAGAGTAATTAAAAGAGAAACTTTCCATTTGTGCTGTAGGTTTTATGTCATGTGATTAGAAGTGTCCAGGATTTTAAAAACCAGAAGGAAGTTAACCAGAAAATGGAGAGAGCATCAAGTGTGTGATTTGAGTTAATGTCTTCTCCTTTCAGGGCATGGTGGCAGTGTCTGGCAGTTTGTCAGTGCTTCTTGATTCCATTATCTGTGCCCTTGGCCCCTTGGCATGTCTGACTACACAACTACCTGAATTGAATGGCTGTCCCAAACAAGTCTTGGTGAGTTTTCCTTAGACTTTTAGGGCCAGACCTCTAGGAGATCAGAGACGCCCTGCCTTAACCGGTGCTGTCAGGTAGACTCCTAGGGCTCTCTGGTTCATTGCACATGGCCCGTGGAATGAGTTCTGTTTTACCAAATGCATGTTATGCTTAGTGAAACTAGAAAATATGCCATTTCCCAAACTGGTACGTTAGAGAGAGGAAGTCTAACCCTTGAGGTGCTATAATTCCTGCATTTCCCATTTACTCTTCTATATACTGTGCAGGAATTTTCTCTCTTTTTCACTGGGATTAATGGGAGAAATCAGCAGAAAAGCTCCTGCAAACAGCAGGATGCCATCATCATTCTTATCCTGTGTTCTCTGACTTCACTTTTTCCTGTCTCATCTCTCTCCCTGAACAAAAAAACATATCTCAAGAAATCACRGTAAAGTACCCTTCAACTGAACCTTTTTTCCTTGTTTTGTAGTCAAACACGCTAGACAACATTGCTTACATCATGCCTGGACTGTGACAGCGGAGACTCCTGGGGTAGAAGCCTCACCTACCCTTTGTGTATAGGTTTGTGTATATATGACTGTTCAAACCCCTTCGCTGGCCTCTGGGTGTAGGTTTTACATTTTTATATCTATACATATATATATACATATATATATCTGTATATATGTAATGTACAAAATATACATAGGATTGTAACTACTTTGCTTTTAATAATTTTATGAAATGGCAAAGGTTTAGCCAAGAGGAATCTTTGGCATGAGTATGGGCTTGGGATCTTTCTTCTCTTGTGGTGGGTAAATCTGCCTTAAAAATCAGTGTATCTTGGGGCTRGGGGCTTGTTCTGGGTGCCACGTGCATCTCCTTATGGATAGCTAAAATGTGATTTTTTTTTTCCAAACTCATTTGTACCTCCAGACCCATCACTGACCACTTGCCTTACCTGTCTAATAGTCAGACATATAATAATAAGAGAGATTATGGGAGGGTGCCAGCTGACCCGAAGTACAAAGGCTTTCAATCTGAAGTGACGGAGGTGGGAGGTGATGAGCTCATTCCCACTGTGGCTATTAAAGTGGCTTAGATGGACTAAGTAGGGGGTTCATTCCAAGTCCTACTATACAGTGTCCATGTCTCAAACTTTATTGTAATCATTGGTACCATTGGCAGCCTYAGCAGAGGCCAAGGAGTTGTGCGATTCCTGGCAGCAAAAATACCTTGGAGAGGGTGATGCTGCTGGTGCCACCTTTGGATCTGCATGTATTCTCTTAGCTGACCAGAGTATTTGGTTTGTAAAACCAAGAGCTGGTATCTTTCATTGGCAGCATTAGGTTGGCCACCAAGTCCTCAGAAATCCTGCTGCTCATTTGCTTGGTGGTTATGGAAGGTAGACTTGGCCCAGCRTGGTTCTTGGGTTTATCTTAACAGTTCCCWTGGTGGGCAGATACACAATGTTCTGCGTTCCACATGTAAGTGAATTGCAAAAAAAGTACTCAATTCTCATGTAGGTTTATTTATGTGTGTGTGTGTGTGTGTGTGTGTGTGTGTGTGTGTGTGAATGTGTATTTTAATTATGTGTATTTAACTCTTTAAAATKTCTTAGATTTTAATTTATCCTGTAAATTTATGTATATATAATTTAATAACAAAAGCCTCCACCAGCAACAGCATGTGGAAGATACAGATTTATTATTTCATCCTCCCTTCCTCTGGGCTGTTCCAAAAACTCTAAATCACCTATATTTCAAGGTATTGTACCTCAAAAAGGAATCATTATGTCGGGATTCTAATTCTCTATAAAGAACTTCATGGCCTTCAATAATGTTGAGAAAGTGAAATAAAAAGAAACATTGCCATTCCCAGCTCCCCTTATTTCCAAAGACCTCAACCTGCTTCCCAGTTGCAAAGAAGACAGTCGGACACTTCAGGGTAGTTTCTGTTTGGTGTGAGATTCCCTGCCWAAACCAAGCTCTGAGGCAACTGTGCTTTCCTCCCCGGCCTAGACAGAGCAGGACAGCATCACAGTGTCCCCAGAGGTCACTGTGCAGCCACCAGGCGTCCCATTCATTCCTTCCTTTCTTCCACCAGTGTTACCAGGGCTGTGCTTCCCAGAGGCATCTGGCTGCCTAGTCCCTTTCTCAGCTCAGAGCAGTTTTAAGATTTAATCCAGGAAATAGAAACCGGAACGTTTAGGAATTGAATCAAGAGAAGCAGAAATCTTAGCTTGTTTTCATGTGTCAGAACCTTGTGCCATGTCTCATCTGTCCCGCGCAAGTTTCCTGTTCCGACACAGGATATCAGGGAGGGGCAGGGAGACATGGTGGGACAGAAAGAACTCACTCCTGCCACTGTCATTTGTATACATGAATGAAATCCCAATGAGGACCCACTTTTTTGTTTGTTTTCCTTYGAAACCCAGTCCTATTGTATTTGTATTTAAGATTTGTACACATTTGTATAATAATCTGTACCTTGTGGTATTTGGTACTATTAGAGGAAAAACTTTGGATTCGGGCCTTCTTGCAGTTTTTATATCATTGTTTTATTTTGTTTTTTAAATAAATTCTAGTGGTTTGATCCAAATCCCATTACAGTTGTATAAAGAAATAAAATTTTGTACTTATATTATTAAAAATCACATTTTTAATATTTGTAGTTCAGTCTCAGCTGTCTTTTCCCTATTTGTGCTAATCATAGTTGCTACAAAATTAAAACCTCTCTCACATTCTACACTACTATAATTTTCTTTAAAAAAAATGGAATAGAGGTCAAGTTTCTAATCTCAACCATTTTCCTAAAATATATCTTACTGTGTTTTGTATTAATTTTTATATTGTAGAGCTTCCGGTTCTCTTTTATAAACTTCAAAACCAGTAACTCTGATAGCTGTGACTGTATTTATTGGCAACAAAACTTTATACATTGGTTTTGGCCTAATTCAAGAAAAATCCATCAATCTTGGGTAAGGGTCATAGCTGTATAATTTGCTAAATATGACACATTTCATGCTGTTTCAATACTGTCTGAGCTTAGTGATGTTGGCTAAGTCACTTAACCTTTATATAGGCTTCCAAAGTCTCATCTGTAAAATAGAGTAATTTCACCTCCCTATCTCCAAGCCTCAGCCAGCCAGCCTGACATCAAAGTTTAGTAATACTACAAACATTGATTATATGGAAATTTGACTTTTCAAGGTAAAAAATCTSTGTGAACATAAGATGTTAAAAGTCACAAATAGGTCTTAGGGTAGAGCTCAGCACTTGGCTATCACATGCAAGGCCCTGGGTTCAGTCCCCAGTGCCGCACACACAAGRAAATTTTTAAAAGGCCACATCTTATTAAGAAGCAGCAAGAAACAGACTGTCAAACAGGGAAGGACTGTGAGACTGACGTGCATATTTCATCTCCCCTTATCCTCTCAAAAGCCTTTGAATGTTATTCCCCTTTACTGTCTGTGAGGAGAAAAATGCAGAAAAGTACTTTTCACAAGTTTACATAGCTAGTAAGTGGCAAAGTAAGAATAAGAACACTGGGGCTGGGTCTGTAGCTCAGTGGTAGAGCGCTTGCCTAGCATGTGTGAGGCACTGAGCTACAGTAGGTTTGATCCTTAGCACCACATACAAATAAATGTAATAAAAAAAGAATAAGAACATTGGTACAGCTACCCTAAAACCTAGGCCCCTTCTACCCCAACCTACTTTCAAATTCAAATCCTGTTTTCTACAGTCCTGATTATAGAGAAACAGATGAGATCTTATCCTTGTCCAGAAGTTCAGCAGGCTTTCACTCTTCTTATTCTGTTGACTTTAAGTTTTGGAGGCAGTGTATCTTGATTATTCTCCAAAAGTATATAAAGGATATAGATTGCATTTATGTAGTATGTCAGTCTTAAGGTACTTAAAGATTTTTACCTTAATAAAGAATAATATTAATATAACAACACTAAAAGGAAAAATTTAAATTGAAACAGACTTTTGGGGGTTTTTTGGGCAGCAGAGTTATACTAGAGATTTAATCCAGGGGCACTTTACCACTAGGGCTACATCTCCAGCCCTTTTTTTAATATTTAGTTTTTAGGTGGACACAACATCTTTGTTTTTATGTGATGCTGAGGATCGAACCCGGGCCACACGCATGCCAGGCCAGCGCACTACCACTTGAGCCACATCCCCAGCCCCAAAATTGTAGATCTTATGAGTTGACAACTCTTTTTTTGATAGAGAGGAGAGAGAGAATTTTTTTAATATTTAGTTTTTCCAGCCCTTTTTGTTGAGACAGAGTCTCTGTAAGTTGCTTAGGGCCTTGCTATGTAGTAGAAACTGGACTTGAATTTGCAATCCTGCCTCAGACCCTTATGCACAGGGATTACAGACATGTGCCACTGCACCCAGCTAAAACAGACTTTTTACTGGATAAATTTGTTTCTTATTAGTACACTTTTAAAAAGTTTTGGTCAGGGTGCTGAGACTGTAGCTCAGTGAGTAGGGTGCTTGCCTCGCATGTGTAAGGCACTGGGTTCAATCCCCAGCACCACATAAAAATAAATAAAGATACTGTGTGTTCATTCATCTACAACTAAATAAATATTATACTTTTGTCATTTATATCCCTATCGACTATTTTGATAAAATTGACATATTTCCTTTTCTGTATTAATAGCTATGTAGTATGCATGGAATCAATACAATTCTGCTTCCTATTTAGGCATATTTGGGTTTTTTTCTGATTTTCTGTCACGAAGAATAAACCTTACAAGAACTTCAAGCAAGTCCATCCAGTATGGGGATATTAAGGTTGTTAATGGAAGAATCCAAAATCTCATGTTCGGTATACTCCAAACAACCAAGCAATGTGCTTAAATAAAGAAAGACATAGAAAGTAACTTATGAAATTCATCTTAAATGTACACATCCCCCTTCATAATCCAAATACCACTACTGAAAATTGACATATGCTAGTCATTGTGTTAGACGACTGTAGGGATCCCAACAGACATAGTATCCCAGTCCTCATGGAGCTAGCGAGGTAGGGGAAAGGGCACTTGTCTACAAGTCTTATGAACATTATTGAAACACTTCAAAACAGTTTTATACAGAAAAAAATGTCCCATGGCAGCTCAAACAACTGATACATAGAACAAATCACAGAAGTGACTAACATAGTCCTAATTTAGGTTTTAAACTCCCTGATGTTTTAAGCAAAATTGGATCACTGTCTTTTTTTCCTCTTCAATTTTTCAAAAGAGCCTGTGACCTAAAAAAATAAAATAAATTGGTTAAGAGTCCTTGATCTAATTCCAGTATCCAGAGAAMATGAGCTCGCTGTTTGGATCACAAGGTAAATTAATGGCAGAGAGCGCCACCGCGCCCTTTCCTGACTACATCTTGTTCGCTGGCCTGTCAGTCCTAAGTAGAGGCAGGTGAAGCGGACGCGCACCTGGAGCCGGGGAAACCTGACATCAGATAGAAGTCCTATCGTCAGGCGGGAGCAGGCGAGACCCATTCTCAGTTAGGTGTGTAGTCTCCGCGAGGTCCCAGGCCTAGAGACAGTCTCCTTAACCTTCAGGTCTTCCAGAGGTGTTGACACCTTTAGGCCACGCCCCTAAAAGCCAGGTGAGCGCTCTAGGGGCGTGGCTTAGGGGCCCTGGTCCCAGSCCCGCCCCAGCCCTCCGAGTGCGTGACGTCCGCCGACGCCGAGGGGCTGCGGCGAGGTCGTGGATCTCAGAGCGCCCGCCTCGCCGTCAGGGCGGGGCCTGTGGCTCGGCGCCTGGGCCCCGCCCCCATCGGCACCTCCCCCAGGCTGTCCGCCGTGTCACGTGACGGGTCGGCGGCGCTGGCGGTTGCTGTCAGCTGATTCCCGGGGTTGGTGGCAGCGGCAGCCGCGGCGATGGACTTTCTCCTGGGGAACCCGTTCAGCTCTCCGGTGGGACAGCGCATCGGTAAGTCCCTGGAGCCCCGCACAGCCCCTCCCCAGTGTTCCTCACTCGGCTTTGGTCCCCGGGGAGCCTCTAGGTCCCCAGTCTCGGCGCTGGGAGGCTAGGAGGGTGATAAGGCTGGCGTGTCGCCGTCCCGCCCATTTCCCCGCCCACCCTTGATTGACAACAGCGCGGGCCTCTAGGAAGCCGGGATAGGGATGGATGCTTGTGAGTGCCAATAGGGAAGGAGAGCGGACGGGTCCAGGCTGGCGCGGCTCAGCCAATG